TAAACTTTCTTTTAAAGACTTTTAAATAATTTAAAATGATTTGGATTATTTGTAATGGGACCTGAAGTAAGCAGATGGAAACAGGAATGGGTTCAGAGCAATCCACTCTCAGTAGTTCAGAACCAGAACCGGTTCAAGCTGCTGCAGGTTTGTAAAAAAGCAGCGGAACAGCCCTTTAAAGAGGCTGCGAATCAGAAGCCAACTTCTGCCTGTTTCCCAGTTCGCTGTTGGCTGCTGTTAGCCTGTTCCTCCGGTCGGTTCCGTTCGGTTCGGTTCGGAGCCTGTTTCTGGTGTTAACCTGCTCTTCCAACTGGCCGGTATCTGTTCGGTTCTGGACGGAGGGAAAGGCCCGGGTTGTTGCTGCGGGTCAGGTTCTGAGATGTCAGCCCAGATTCGGTCCAGGAGGTTCGGTGGTTCTGTTCAGCCTGTTCGGCCCAGAGGTGTTCAGCCTGAACCACCTCTGCTGGTTCCGGTCTAATGAAGCAAACTCAGGTCGCGGCTCGGTTCGGTTCTTCTTAGTGATGTGGAACCATGAACATCAGAGCTAGTCCCGCCCCTTTCAGCTATGGACCAATCACAGGCCAGCTCCACAACAGGTGCTGCAGGTGAACAGACCGAACAGAACCAGTCCACCCAGCGGTCTAGCTGCAGGTCCAAACGTCTCTCTTTGGTTCAAAGATGAACCATCAGAACCTCCTACCGGATCCGGTCTGGTACTGGTTCTGTTGGGTCTTACTAAGGAAGACTGGCTGGTTGGAGGTTCATCTGGACCTGGACGTTACTGTCACGTTACCAAATATGGAATCAGGTCATGTGACCCGGTGGTTCCGCCCCAGCAGAACCTCTGGATGTCCAGCTGAGATGTTTGGACCTCCAGAGGGAATTCCCGACCCGCCGGACCGGACCTCTACCTGCTGAACCCGGCTGGACCTGAAAGACAATCTGTGTTCTGATCCGATGTGTCACATACCAACACACACACACACACGCACACACAGACACACACACACACACACACACACACACACACCCGGCTTGGCTTGAAACCCGAGCCGGCTGGTTCTATAAGCAGCCGACCCGCGGGCGGCCGGTCTGTCCCGATCCGGTCCCTGTCAGGGTAATATAGCTGCTGCTCACGCATCGACCCGATCCGACCCAGTTTGGTTACTAATGTTCAGACTGGAGCAGAACCTCCAACTGGTTCTGGTTTGGTGGTTCTGAACGGATCAGAACCAGAAGACGACAGTTAGTCCGGTTCTGTTTGCTGGTATCAAAGCTGTGGTTCTGCTGGGATCAGAGGAGTTCTGATCCCAGGAATCTTGTTTCTGTGTTAACCTTTGACCTGTGGTTCTGGTTCTGTTCCTGCAGGAGCTAACGGACCTGTCCAGAGACCCTCCGGCCCAATGCTCAGCCGGGCCCGTCGGCGAAGACAGTAAGGTTCCGTCCGGTTCTGTTCTGTCCAGGTCCAGCTGGTTCTGTCCGGATCCGGCCGGTTCTGTTGGGTTCTGTTCTGTTGCTGCTCATCTAATTCTGCTCTGCTGTTTTTAGTGTTCCACTGGCAGGCCACCATCATGGGTCCGGTAAGTACCAGAACCAGAACCCGGATCAGGACTCTGCTTGTTTTGTGACCCGGACTGACGCTGCGGTTCTGGTTTTGTTGCAGCCCGACAGTCCGTACCAGGGCGGCGTGTTCTTCCTCACAATCCACTTCCCGACCGATTATCCCTTCAAGCCGCCCAAGGTGAGAGCGGCACGTACGTCCCGGCCCGGGTCGGCGCCGGTTCTGACCCGATCCGTCTGCTCCTCTTCCAGGTCGCCTTCACCACCAGAATCTACCACCCAAACATCAACAGCAACGGCAGCATCTGCCTGGACATCCTGCGGTCCCAGTGGTCGCCGGCGCTCACCATCTCTAAAGGTGAGCGTCCGGACCGGAACCGGCACGACCGGAACACGGACGGGCCGGACCGGAACCGGCACGGAGCCGACCTGACTAGACCTGACCCGGTTACACTCTACCTGAAATCTGACAGAATTTCATCATCAGATGTTTTGCTCCAGTGACGTGTCCAAGCTGTGGTTTGGGGGCCGTTTGTGGCCCCCTGCAGGACCTTAGTCTGTTCCGAGGCTAAACATTTCACTGAAGCCTTTCAAAATAAAAGTAAATTAAAATCACAATACAGAAAGACATGCAAGTTTTTTTCGGTTTGATGCAGTTTAACCCGTTTTGTCCCAAAACAAAATTTTAATAGAAAAAAATGAATCAATTCAAATCGTTAGATGTTGTCTTCTAAGGTGTTAAATGTTCAGACCTATAATAACTAAAGGTCAGTTTTTCTACTAAACTTGTTTCATAACGAAATGTGTTTAGTTTATTACAGAGGTGCTAAAAATGAAAATTGGACCATTTAGAGAACAATTGGCAGCATCAACAAAAACAAATCAAAATTAGAGAAAACAACACGGTTAAACAAATTGGTTAAATTTTATGCGGAGTGGAGCATCATAGAGAAAGATGGGAAGAAAAACATCAGAAATGTGTAAATGATTCCCTGAATAAATCAAATCAGGACCGTTGATGTTTTGTTGGTGAATGTTGACAGCAGGTGGTGCTGATAGCTGCAGCAGTCAGCGGTTACAATGGCAGTGGTTCTGTTCCAAATGTGGTCTCTGTTTTCTCTCTGCAGTTCTTTTGTCCATTTGTTCTCTGTTATGTGACCCGAATCCTGATGACCCGCTAGTGCCAGAGATTGCCCGCATCTACAAAACAGACCCCGTCAGGTGGGTTGGCGCGCGCGCGCACACACACACACACACACACACGGCCAGCTGTTAAAACTGTTTCTCTGGTTCCTATCGACCTGGATTCAGTTCAGTTAGCCTGATGCTAACAGCTGATGAAACTTGGTTCCATTGTGACTCTGAAGCAGAACTTCTCGGTGAGGTCCAATTGGCACTAGAACCTCTTGAGCAAATTCCAATTTTTGAGGACTATTTGCACTTTTAAACTTCTAATTTATGCTCTTCAGATGGAATCTATTGACTCATTAGCATACACATTGGTAGCAAGCAAGGTGCTAGTAGTGCAGTGGATAGTAGCCCAATTGCTGTTAGCATGCATTTTGCTAGCAATCCATTCGGTAGTAGCCCGGTTGCAAGCAGCACGGTGACTCTGAAGCTCCACCAGATTCCTGAACTGATTTCTGTTTCTCAATCCTTTCAAGGCTGCTGTTCTCCAAGGTGCTGGTGGACTTTTTTCCTTCCACTCAACTTTCTATGAATATAGCAGAAGCAACATAACAAACTGAGAAACATCTGGTTGTCGCTTCCAGATGTGGTTTCGATCGTTTTTCTCTGAACTTTCTCTTCTTCTGCCCAGACCGTGACGTTGACCCCGTCTGTTTCGTCTCCTGCAGGTACAACAAGACAGCTCAGGACTGGACCCAGAAATACGCCATGTGACCCGCCGGACCGCCGCGCATGGCCACGCCCTCCCCCCACCTTTCCCTCCAGTTTGTTCACGTTTCCATTCGTCTCATCCTGAACTGTGATGCTGTTCCCTCCCACCCCCGTCTGTCCGTCTGCAAGAGACATGAGCCGCAGCCTCAGAGTGGACCGGACTGGCCCGGCCTAGGAGAACCGGCCGGCAACGCCTCTTCATGCATGTCAGTGATTGGTTCCTGTGCTGCTCAGAACTCTGTGTCTATTTTTAAAAGAAAAAGCTGTTTCAGTTCCTAGGTTTCTGTCTTTAGTGGAGAGCGTTAGTTCATCACTGATCCGTTCTCCTGGTTTTACTTTTTGCACTTGAAGGCGATCCAGATCCGGTTCCGGTCCCGGCGGCTAACTGATCAACTAATCGCTCTGTGACGGTTTTTCTCAATAAAGATGAACAAATGGACACTGGTTCTGGTTTCATTTCATGTCCGGCAGACGGGGCTGATTGGTTCTGGTCGGGTAAAAAAAACCGAATCAGCCTCAAAATATAAAAAAAACCTTTATTTTAAAAAATTAACAACCAGTTTATTGATGATGAACTGTACAGCGCAGGCGGGCATAAATATGTGGAAACAGGATTGCGAACACCTGGACTACATTTCCCACAATCCCCTGTGGTTTTCTTGTCCAGGAAGAAACCGGAAGTTCAGTTCATGAAAAAGAACTGAATCATTTCAGAAATGAATCCTAAACCCCGGGGCCCCTGCCCGCGGACCCTGGCCCCCGGGGCCCCTGAGGCCCCCGGGCCCCCCGCGGCCCCCTGGGCCCCCGAGGCCCCGGCCCTTGACCCACAGAGGAACGTTCAAGCTGTGGAGAAGCTCAACAGAACATTCTGGAGTCAGAAAACATGAAACCGCTCTGCAGGTCCAGAACAGCTGGTTCTGGTTCTGATGATGAAGATGTTTTAGCTCAAGCCACAAAAGTTACAACTTAAAAAAAAAAATCTAATATAAACTTATTATTTTGAAAGGACTGGTGTTTTATTTCTATTTTCAGGATTTAAAATAAAGAAAATTGAGAAAAAAAAACATTTTTTCTGTAGGAAGGAAAATGATGTAAAAACAAAAAGATCTGAAACTTTCCTGATACTTTTAGTGGAAATTGACACTAAAAACCAGCGCAAGTTGTTGTAAGTGAATTAATTGGCTGGTTTTACTGTTAATCCAGCTTTCAGACTGATGGGTCAGATTAACAACAACTGAGATTGAATCTGGAGCTTTCAGATGGAACCCGGCAGAATAATCCCCTCCGGTTCTGGCTCTGTTGGCCTGGTTCTGGGTTTGAATCTGGACCAGCAGAACTGGGTCCAGAATGTTCTAATGAGCATCCAGATGCTGTGACTCTCCCTGCTGATCATGTGGTTCTGACCCAAATGGAGGCGGTTTTAATCCGATTGTAGCAAGGAGGTTCCGACCCGTTTGGACCTGGTCAGGGTTTGTAGCACCATTGGTTCTGGGAAGGAACAGGAAGCAGCTTTTCTGTCCTGTCAGTAGAGATCAAAGTTCAGCGGTCCGGTTCGACCAGGTCCGGTTCCGGTCCAACTCGGGCCTGACCTTTACAATACGTAGAATCTTTGAGTGATGAAGAGGAGGATGAGGATGTTGGCCAATCAGAGCGCTACGCCGTGGAGAGCTCCACCCCACTGTCGCAGACGCCACTGTCGTTCCCAAGGTCCGCCTTCAGGTTCTGGACCAGAGGGTTCTGGACCTCCTCTGCCGTGTCCGGGTTCTGGCGCAGCGCCCCCTCCAGGATGCTCAGCGCTTTGCAGCCGCCTGCCGACCGGAGAGCCGCCAGCAGGTCCGAAACAGTCCCACCAGAAACCTGCAGAACCAAACATCAGAACCATCATCAGAGGAAGTTGATGATTCTTCTTCCTGTATCAGTTGAAGAAAATGCGGCCAGCAGGGGGCGTGCTGCCCGGATCGGCCACCAGGGGGCGACGCTCATAGTTACACAGAATTAATCATTTAAACTGACACTGGAGGAAAACATGGAGGTTTGATTTTTCAGTCATATTTTCACCAGGTCATTTATTTAAAAATGTTATAATTTCATTCTAAATTTTAAGCTTTTTTACAAAATATCATGTAACATTTATTTTTACATATTTATTAAACCCTGTAAAAGTGAAACTATAACTAAATATCTCAGATCACATCATCAATGTGTAACTTTACGAACGGCGCCCCCTAGGGCAGCAGTTGTTGTCAACGGGACAGAGACGTTCCTGGGTCCGATGGGCCAGGCGGCGGCTTAATAACACAGAGAGACGTGGTTCTTGCTGCTGGGCATGACGGACGGGGTGGATTTATTACACTCTCCCATGGATTCATCTTACAAAAACCAAAAATCTCCTCAAATTCCTAACATCACCCTATAGAATCTTATCTCTACTGGTGGAAGTTGGAAAGTTTGGACCAATAGCATCACTACCCTTGATTTACGTAAGGATCCCTGCCATCCCCTACATTCAGTGTGTTGGACTTCCTTGAAAATATTTAGGACCTTTTGACCTCAACATCTGCACCATTTCAGAACTGCTGAATAAGCCAATTCCTCACAGGTTGTTGTTCTGATCTGTCCAAACAGGATCCTTCCCTTCGCATTCAAGGGAAGGATCCTGGCAAGAATCCTTTCGCAAAAACAACCAAGTGTATTTCCTCTCTTACATCTGATATTATGTTATCCCACAGTTAGCTGATTGTTAGCCCGTTGCTGGCTGGTTGTTAGCCTGCCGTTAGCCAGTACCTCGTAGCTCTCCAGCAGGGTTCTGGCTGGGTTTGGACTCAGCCGGAACGCCGTGTTCAGGATGCCGAGGCCCAGATGGTGAGCCAGGTTCTCCCAGCATCCTTCAACCTCCAGAGCGCCGCACACGGCCCGCTTCACCTGCACGTCCAGAACCGACAGGTCGCCTACCACACACACACACACACACACACACATAGTGAGGGCAGAGGCCATGATGAGGAGGAGGACGAGGAAGACGAGGCTCACCCTGTGGCAGGACGAAGGCTCGCTGGCTCCTGGGCTCGTACTCTTGACCGTTTAGCAGATCCAGAACCTGCAAACACAGACTCTCAGGATTCTGACCCGGTCCTGGCCCAATGCTCACACACTCCCAGACCTACCTCAGGGCAGGCAGCCATGTTGACTGGAGTGGTTCCTGAGATGTAGCCTTCATCCTCCTCCTCCTCCTCGTCCTCCTCGTCCCTGATGAAGAGTGGCTCAAAGTTCCTTTTGCGGGTCAGCACCTGGAGACAGGAAGGCACGCCAAGATCACATGAAGGTCATGATAGTCCTTTAGCTTGAGACAGAACAGGCTGATAAAACAATTCGTTAAACTAATACTTTACAGAATCTTTCTACATGTTTGTAATTTCGTCTTTTACAAATAAAAATCCATTTTATTTGCCTGATAAAATAACACAACTGTTACCCTAAAGTTTTAGTGTATCTACAGGGCCACATAATAGCTTTGGTGGGCCCGATTTGGCCCCGAGGCCTCGAGTTTGACACCTGTGAAAGAGAGAGGATCTGCTGGGTTCCACCAGAATCACAACCACTGGAGATAAAAACTTCAAGCTGATATTTTGTAACTCCAGTTCAGAAAAAACATCGAGGAAGCGGCGAGTCATGCTGGAGACTCTGTGGAACCAATGAAGCAAATCATCACCACATCTTCTGGGGTTGTCCGGTGAGCAAAGCTTTTTGGGAACAAATATCTTCCCACCTAAACAATATCTTTACTGAAAAAATCCCTTATAAATGTGAATCCCTATACCTGGGAGCCATTTCATTTGATAACTGGACTCCTGAAGATAAAAAACTG